GATTCCATCATCGACGTTGCATTGGAAGTCGACACTGCTGAGGAGATGAAGTGTAGTGGACTACATTCAAGTGTCTGCAATGATAAATAGACATATTTGCATGTGTAATACATAATTTGTGTCATATTCTTTCTCTATCAATTTTTGGAGAATGATATTTGCTGATATTGGGTACATGTGGGGATCTCAGATGTTTTTGTTTATTTCGTGGATGCTTAGGGATATTGGGTCTAGGCAGGGATAGAGAGAATCCACAGGAGGGTCCAATGGGTCGACCAGCCTGAATGTGGACATTTTTGATTGTATTTTGTTTGCTGAGGCTTTCATGTGTATTCAAATTGCATCATAGTTTAAAATGCATTGATAAAGATTTATGAATTGATCTGGAGTACTTAGGTGGTTGCCTGGGGCAGAGGGGCCGTGAGAGAATACTACTGTCTTGATTGATTGATGGATATTTGGAAAGAAAGCTGCCAGACAGGTTTTTTGCTCTCACACTCCATAAAGATTTGTTCATATTTCATAGAAATGTATTTACACTCCATAGAAAAATTAGTTTTTGGTTTATTGTTAAAGATACTCAATAAGAGAAATTGTTATTTGTCATAATCCTATTATTTTTGTTTTCGAGACTTAATTAGTCTCGAAGGGGGGAAATATGTAGTGTTTAAACAGTTTATGACTTTGTTGATGTTTGCAAATGGTGTGTTAGAGGAAGTCTGTTAGGTGGCCTCCTGGGATTGGTTTATGGGAAAACACCCATATTATGTTACATAGGGCATAGGATATAAATACCACGGTTAAAACAAAGGAGGACAGAACAACATATTATTTTGAGTCCGTTGTTCTCCAGATGTCTGTAAATTTACGCTGAAATCTTGTGATATAAATAAACCTTTATAATCAAAGTACAGTGTAAGCGGACTCCTTGGTCTCAAAGCATAATTGGCATCATTATTTAGATACCACAAACCTTAAGCTGAAACTAGTCTAGCTGCAACCGAATGGCTGTGGTAGCCAGCTAGCTAGCTACTTGCTATTAGCCACCGTTAGCGTCTTCACCATTTGTATGTGGCCTGCACTACCCACCAGCCAGCACTAGCTCTAGCCTGGACAATTTGTCGGCCAGTCTGCACAGCGTGCTATCGACCCAGAGCATATCGGATTTTCTGCCGGAATCACTGGACCCTAGCGCCGGATCATCGCAACTAGCTAGCTGCAACCGAATGGCTGTTGTCGTTGGCTAATTACCATTGCCCCTTAGCAAGCACCATTAGCCTTGAGCTAGCCTCGAGCCAGGCCCATCTCCCGGCTATCTACCTCTCTGTCAACCGGACGGGACCTCCTAGTGTTGACACGGAGCCCCGCCGATCCAACATGACTGGTCTGCCGACGAAATCGTCTGATATGGTTTCAACAGGCTTCCCATTACGACGTCGACCACGAAGATCCATCTGCTAGCCCCGGCCCGCTAGCACACGCAAGCCGTGGCCTCTTGCTCGCCAGTGCTGTAGCAGCCCCCGAACTACCTCCGAACTCTCCTATTGCTGTTCACCGGACCTTATGATAACTCAGCTATACAGCTAATGCCTGCTGGACTGTTCCTTTATACGGTACCGCATCCTGTTTATGTTTAGCCTCAGCCCAAACTTTGTCACCATTACCAGCTGTTGTCTTAGCTCTCTCGAATAACACCTGTGATTGCTTTATGCCTCTCTCCCATGTCAATATGCCTTGCTTATTGCTGTTTCGGTTATTTCTTATTGTACTATTTCACTGTAGAGCCCCCAGTCAAACTCAACCTGCCTTAGATAGCTCCTTTGTCCCACCACCCATACACGCGGAGACCGACTCAATCGGTGCCTCCAGTGATGCCATCTCTTTCATCGTTACCCAACGCTTAGGTTTACCTCCACTGTACTCATATCCTTCCATATCCTTGTCTGTACATAATTTCCTGAATCTATTCTACAATGCCCAGATTTTTTTTTCTCTGTACCCAATGCACTAGAAGACCAGTTCTTAAAGCCTTTAGCCGTATCCTTATTCTACTCCTCCTCTGTTCCTCTGGTGATGTAGAGGTTAACCCAGGCCCTGTAGCCCCCAGTATCACTCCTACTCCCCAGGCGTTATCATTTGTTGACTTCTGTAACCGTAAAAGCCTTGGTTTCTTGCACGTTAACATCAGAAGCCTCCTCCCTACATTTGATTTATTCACTGCGTTAGCACACTCTGCCAACCATGATGTTCTAGCAGTGTCTGAATCCTGGCTTAGGAAGGCCACCAAAAATTCAAAAATTCAGCAATCTCACTGTTGCCGCTTGCTACAGTCCCCCCTCAGCCCCGAGCTGTGCCCTGGACACCATATGTGAACTGATTGCCCCCCATCTATCCTCAGAGTTCGTACTGCTTGGTGACCTAAACTGGGATATGCTTAACACCCCAGACAACCTACAATCTAAACTAGATGCCCTCAATCTCACAAATTATCAACGAACCTACCAGGTACAACCCTAAACCTGTAAACATGGGCACCCTCATAGATATCATCCTGACAAATTTACCCTCTAAATACAACTCTGCTGTCTTCAACCAGGATATCAGCGATCACTGCCTTATTGCCTGCGTCCGTAATGGGTCCGCGGTCAAACGACCACCCCTCCTCACTGTCAAACGCTCCCTAAAACACTTTAGCGAGCAGGCCTTTCTAATTGACCTTGCCCAGGTATCCTGGATGGATATTGACCTCATTCCGTCAGTAGAAGATGCCTGGTTGTTCTTTAAAAGTGCTTTCCTCGCAATCTTAAATAAGCATGCCCCATTCAAAAAAATTCAGAACTAAGAACAGATATAGCCCCTGGTTCTCCTCAGACTTGACTGCCCTTGACCAGCACAAAAACATCCTGTGGCGTACTGCATTAGCATTGAACAGCCCCCGCGATATGCAACTTTTCAGGGAAGTCAGGAACCAATATACACAATCAGTTAGGAAAGCAAAGGCTAGCTTTTTCAAACAGAAATGTGCATCCTGTAGCACTAACTCCAAAAAGTTTTGGGACACTGTAAAGTCCATGGAGAATAGGAGCACCTCCTCCCAACTGCCCACTGCACTGAGGCTAGGAAACACTGTCACCACCGATAAATCTACAATAATTGAGAATTTCAACAAGCATTTTGCTATGGTTGGCCTTGCTTTCCACCTGGCTACCACTACCCCGGCCACCAGCTCTGCACCCTCCGCTGCAACTTGCCCATGCCCCCCCCCCCCCCTAAGTATGTGGACAACTACAAATACCTAGGTGTCTGGTTAGACTCTAAACTCTCCTTCCAGACTCACATTAAGCATCTCAAATCAAAAGTTAGATCTAGAATCGGCTTCCTATTTCGCAACAAAGCCTCCTTCACTCATACTGCCAAACATGCCCTCGTAAAACTGACTATCCTACCGATCATTGACTTCGGCGATGTCATTTACAAAATAGCCTCCAACACTCTACTCAGCAAATTGGATGTAGTCTATCACAGTGCCATCCGTTTTGTCACCAAAGCCCCATATACTACCCACCATTGTGACCTGTACGCGCTTGTTGGCTGGCCCTCACTACATATTCATCGCCAAACCCACTGGCTCCAGGTCATCTATAAATCACTGTTAGGCAAATCCCCGTCTTATCTTAGCTCACCGGTCACCTTAGCAACACCCACCCGTAGTCTGCGCTCCAGCAGGTATATCTCACCGGTCATCCCCAAAGCCAACACCTCCTTTGGCCGCCATTCCTTCCAGTTCTCTGCTGCCAATGACTGGAACGAACTGCAAAAATCTCTGAAGCTGGAGACTCTTATCTCCTTCACTAACTTTAAGCGTCAGTTGTCAGAGCAGCTTACCGATCACTGCACCTGTACACAGCCCATCTGTAATTAGCCCACCCAACTACCTCATCCCCATATTGTTATTTATTTTGCTAATTTGCACCCCAGTATCTCTATTTGCACATCATCTTTTGCACATCTATCATTCCAATGTTAATACGAAATTGTAACTATTTTGTAGTATGGCCTATTTATTGCCTTACCTCCATAATTTACTACATTCGCACACACTGTATATATATATTCTGTTGTATTTTTTACTTTAGGTTTTGTTTACCCCATATGTAACTCTGTGTTGTTGTTTTTATCGCACTGTTTGCTTTATCTTGGCCAGGTCGCAGTTGTAAATGAGAACTTGTTCTCAACTGGCTTACCTGGTTAAATAAAGGTGAATTAAATTTAAAAAATAAAAAACATGTGTTTATGTTAATTAACAGTCAGTTACCGTGAGACTGGCAGTTATTTGCTTAACAATCACCGGCTGACAAAATTGAATGACCACCACAGCCCTAGCTACATGCATTATTAATGGACCCATTGCCTTGGAGTTGCATTTTTATGACATGGCCTGTCACATATTTCAATATCAGCATCACACACACACACACACTCGTGCACACACACTTTTATATCAGCGTCCAATGTTGCTTTAACGCTAACACAAACACGCCCATGAACCCACAAGTACATACATTTTTTATGACACAGTCTGACATATTTCAGAGTAAACAGCCCTCCATAAATCAAATTGCCCAATCTCAATCCAATAAGGGAGGAGTTGTGGCACTGCAGAAAGGGAGGTAAACTGCTCAATAATCAATTTAGTTTACAGAGGGTCTTGGGGATTCACTCTAACCAGAGAGAGCGTTGCATGACAAATAGGCAACGTTGTGTCTGTGCACTGGCTGTAGCTCTCTGAATAGTTAGCATGTTCATCCTCATTCTAAAGGGCATCTCAGGGTTACCTGAGCAATCCACATCCAATGCAGTACAAATGTTCTCAGACAGGTGAAGAGGGATAGTATACCATGGTTCAGGGATGGTATGCTGCATATTCCTGTTGACAATGTGTCAGTAACAGTCTGTCTATGACAGACAGCTAAACTACAGGACAGGTGCTCATCATACCTGGCCTTGCTCATGCCATTCCAGCACTTGTCGTCACTAGCTGCTCCTGCTGCCACTTTACTACTGCACAGAGCAGCTGGCAGCTGGACCCAGTACTGCTGCATCTCCCGCAGCTTACTGGACACATCAGATATCTAGGAGAGAAATGACAGACTAGTCGACACAAAACACTCATGTATATACACACACACAGACAGACAGACACAGACACACAGAGAGAGAGAGAGAGAGAGAGAGAGAGAGAGAGAGAGAGAGAGAGAGAGAGAGAGAGAGAGAGAGAGAGAGAGAGAGAGAGAGAGAGAGAGAGAGAGAGAGAGAGAGCTGTTCTTGGTCTACTGGACACATTAGATATCTAGGAGAGAAATGACAGACTAGTCGACACAAAACATGCATGTATACACACAAAGAGAGAGCGAGAGAGAGAGGGAGAGAGCTGTTCTTGGTCTACTGGACTCATTAGACTCAACAGAGAGGATGTCCTGCAGTTTTAATGAAACACACACCTGCATCTCCAGTCGGACCCCTGCGGTGGGGCTGGGTTTGTACTCCATTGCGGTGCTGGCGGGGTTAACTCTCTTCTTTCTCTCCTCAGACCTTGAACTCTGTGTGCCTGCCACCCTGGGGGTCCCACAGGCCTGAAACACCTACCACCAAACACACATTTAGACACACAGATCTGAGACTCAAACACATGTAAAATAGCATAGAGCGTGGGTCATAATTGGGAGTGAAGGTTTAGTCAGCGTTTGGTGCTGGTTGAACTGACCTTGCTGGTGAAGACCTCTGTGTTCTCCTGCATGTAGAGGATGGCCTCTGAGATACGGAGGGGGATGGAGTAGATGACCACGTCCACACTGGGGTCAGCACTGAAACTAGACGCCACCTGCAGCATGGTGTCTGGACAAACAGAGACAGGAGAAAAACAAGGACAAAGACTGAGAGTGTGTGCGTATATTTGCTGTGTGTGTGTGAGCAGTCGGGCGGACATGCGTGTCTCTCACCGATGAGGTTCTGCCACTCGGTGTCCAGGTCGGCCTGGTTGGCGAGGCAGCCCTTCATGACGTTTCTGCAGTAGTTGGCACAGGGCTTGACTGAGGCCAGGCCTCTACAGTGAGGACAGTACACCAGCTTCATCATGGCACGAGTACACTCTGTGCTGAGAGGAACCTAGAGGAAAAGACCAATCATCATCATCAATGAGCTTTGCATCTTTTCAACTTTGACTTCAACTGTGAGGAGTTATGAGTAATACAGTGAGTTGGAATGGAACGTTTTTTTGTTGTAAAATAACTGCTATTCTAAATTATATTTTCACTCAGGCATGATGGCTGGCGCCTGTGTAGAGTAGAGAGTTGTTCCTCGCTACTTCTTAGGTCTCTGTATCTATCAAGTCAACTGTGCATGGCTATGCTCCAGCGATAGGGGCCGTTACACATGTCAGTGCAGAGACAGATGAAAAGCACAGTAAAGTTCACTTAGTGACATCTTCCCTCCCCTGATCTTTCCTCCCTCCAATACAGAGACATCATTTCACCCTCATTGCATGAATGGTTATAATATGTATTGTAATTATGATTATCATGTATTGATTATTATTAAGTGTATTGTGTGATATGGAACGGCAACACTACCATGCAGCTAATACTTGACAGTGGTTAGATAGTGGATATAGATGTTTGTGGTCAGAAGACTTGGCCATCATTTCCAAGGACAATCACGCATTCAGAGGAGGACCATGTAATTTTCCCAGAATGGAGTTTCAAATATAGCTCCTTAATGTGGATGAGAGCAAGCTAATACTGTCTAGAGTTTGACACCATTAAGAACTTTACAAGCAAACTGATCAGATAACAAGATTAAAGAGGCATCATTCCAACCGGTCCTTATATTAACAGACTTCACAGGGACCCATCAACAGGGCTTAATGTAAACAGACAGCCTGCTTCCTAACAAGTCCGACGGTCACCGATTGATTGTGACATCCCAGTGTGAGATCTTCTACAGTGTGACACAACAGGGGTTGGAGTGGAGCAGAGCGGAGCGGGCAGTTAATGGTGCTGCTAAATTAAGATCAATGACGGGACAGACGCCCGTGATGCCTCACTGTTACATCAGCCACAGTCACTGGCAGTAATGACAATAGTCAACCATAGCTCAAAGGAATTCTTCCATCTGTATGCTCTCTTGCTCTCTCTCTCACAGATTGTCTTTCTCTCTCAATTCAATTTCAATTCAATTGAAGGGCTTTATTGGCATGGGAAATGTATGTTAACATTGCCAAAGCAAGTGAAGCAGATAGTAAACAAAAGTGAAATAAACTATAAATATTAACAGTAAACGTTACACTCAGAAGTTCCAAAAGAATAACAACATTTCAAAATGTCATATTATGTCTATATACAGTGTTGTAACAATGTGCAAATAGTTAAAGTACAAATGGGAAAATAAATAAACATAAATATGGGTTGTATTTACAACAGTGTTTGTTCTTCACTGGTTGCCCTTTTCTTGTAGCAAAAGGTCAAAAATCTTGCTGATGTGATGGCACACTGTGGTATTTCACCCAGTAGATAAGGGACTTTATCAAAATTGGGTTTGTTTTTTAATTCTTTGCGGATCTCTGTAATCTGAGGGAAATATGTGTCTCTAATATGGTCATACATTTGGCAGGAGGTTAGGAAGTGCAGCTCAGTTTCCACCTCATTTTGTGGGAAGTGTGCACATAGCCTGTCTTCTCTTGAGAGCCAGGTCTGCATACGGCGGCCTTTCTCAATAGCAAGGCTATGCTCACTGAGTCTGTACATAGTCAAAGCATTCCTTAAGTTTGGGTCAGTCACAGTGGTCAGGTATTCTGCCACTGTGTACTCTCTGTTTAGGGCCAAATAGCATTCTAGTTTGCGCAGTTTTTTTGTTAATTCTTTCCAATGTGTCAAGTAATTCTCTTTTTGTTCTCATGATTTGGTGGGGTCTGTTTGTGAACAGAGCCCCAGGACCAGCTTACTTAGGGGACTCTTCTCCAAGTTCATCTCTCTGTAGGTGATGGCTTTGTTATGGAAGGTTTGGGAATCGCTTCCTTTTAAGTGGTTATAGAATTTAACGGCTCTTTTCTGGATTTTGATAATTAGCGGGTATCGGCCTACTTCTGCTCTGCATGCATTAGTTGGTGTTTTTCGTTGTACACAGAGGATATTTTTGCATTATTCTGCATGCAGAATCTCATTTTGGTGTTTGTCCCATTTTGTGAATTCTTGGTTGGTGAGCGGACCCCAGACCTCACAACCATGAAGGGCAATGGGTTCTATAACAGATTCAAGTATTTTTAGCCAGATCCTAATTGGTATGTCAAATTGTATGTTCCTTTTGATGGCATAGAAGGCCCTTTCTTGCCTTGTCTCTCAGATCGTTCACAGCTTTGTGGAAGTTACCTGGGGCGCTGATGTTTAGGACGAGGTATGTATAGTTTTTTGTGTGCTCTAGGGCAACGGTGTCTAGATGGAATTTGTATTTGTGGTCCTGGCAACTGGACCTTTTTTGGAACACCATTATTTTTGTCTTACTGAGATTTACTGTCAGGGCCCAGGTCTGACAGAATCTGTGCAGAAGATCTAGGTGCTGCTGTAGGCCCTCCTTGGTTGGTGACAGAAGCACCAGATCATCAGCAAACAGTAGACATTTGACTTCAGATTCTAGTAGGGTGAGGACGGGTGCTGCAGACTGTTCTAGTGCCCTCGCCAATTCATTGATATATATGTTGAAGAGGGTAGGGCTTAAACTGCATCCGTGTCTCACCCCACGGCCCTGTGGAAAGAAATGTGTGTGTTTTTTGCCAATTTTAACCGCACACTTGTTGTTTGTGTACATGGATTTTATAATGTCGTATGTTTTTCCCTCAAACCCACTTTCCATCAATTTGTATAATGTTTGTTTGTCAATTAGGGTGTGCAGGGTGAATACGTGGTCTGTCGTACGGTAATTTGGTAAAAAGCCAATTTGACATTTGCTTAGTACATTGTTTTCACTGATGATAATGCAGAGGATTTTCCCAAGGTTGCTGTTGATGCATATCCCACAGTAGTTATTGGGGTCAAATTTGTCTCCACTTTTGTGGATTGGGGTGATCAGTCCTTGGTTCCAAATATTGGGGAAGATGCCAGATCTAAGGATGATGTTCAAGTGTTTAAGTATAGCCAATTGGAATTTGTGGACTGTATATTTGATCATTTCATTGAGGATACCATTAACACCACAGGCCTTTTTGGGTTGGAGGGTTTGTATTTTGTCCTGTAGTTCATTCAATGTAACTGGAGAATCCAGTGGGTTCTGGTAGTCTTTAATAGTGGATTCTAAGATTTACATTTGATCATGTATATTTTTTTGGTTAGTTCTTTGTTATAGGGCCCAAAATATTGGAGAAGTGGTTTACCCATACATCTCCGTTTTGGATAGATAGCTCTTCGTGTTGTTGTTTGATTAGTGTTTTCCAATTTTCCCAGAAGTGGTTAGAGTCTATGGATTCTTCAATTACATTGAGCTGATTTCTGACATGCTGTTCCTCCTTTTTCCGTAGTGTATTTCTGTATTGTTTTAGTGATTCACCATAGCGAACGCATAGGCTCAGGTTTTCTAGGTCTCTATGTTTTTGGTTGGATAGGTTTCTCAATTTCTTTAGGTTTTTGCATTCTCATCAAACCATTTGTAATTGTTGTTACTTTTCTTCGGTTTTCTGTTAGAGATTTTTAGATTTGATAGGGAAGCTGAGAGTTCAAATATACTGTTTAGGTTTTCTACTGCCAAGTTTACACCTTCACTATTACAGTGGAACGTTTTGTCCAGGAAGTTGCCTAAAAGGGATTGAATTTGTTGTTGCCTAATTGTTTTTTGGTAGGTTTCGACACTACTCTCCTTCCATCTATAGCATTTCTTAATATACCCTCTCTCTGTGTTCTATTTAAAGGTGGTAAAGCTGGTGGTATCATGTACTGTAAATACAGTCTGTATTTAAATAGCCAGACTCTGGCCTCTTTGTGCCAAACTAAAGAGTGGTTTGAAATGGTGGTTATTTTTAGGAAGAAGGGAGTGAGAGTCCACTGGATTCCTGCACGTGGCTATTGCCCTCTCTGGTGTTTGTGTAAACAGCTTGTGTATGTCCGATATGTAATCCACAAATACACATCAATCCACTTTAAAAAGACTTAACAGATTACACATTAGATATGACATTACCCTTTTTGTATCTTGAATCTGTATTGAATTGTTTGTATCTGAGACATGTATCTTTTAATTCTTTGTATTTTTTTGTATTATTGTTTGTTTGTTTATTTGTTGTGACATCTCTGTAGAATTATTGTTTTCTAGGACCGAACTGAGGGAGGGTGTGGGGTGGGTTGGGTATATAGGGTTAGTGGTTGGGAGGGAATCGAGGTGGGTGGACTGAGGTAGGGCGGAGAGGTAGGGAAGGGACTGGGGGGGTTGGATGGATGTGTTGTGTGGAGGAAGGGAGGGAGGGTGGTTGGGATATGGTAAAATCTTTGTTATTACATTCATGTACATTTTGTAAAACTTGAATAAAATATATACAGTGGGGAGAACAAGTATTTGATACACTGCCGATTTTGCAGGTTTTCCTACTTACAAAGCATGTAGAGGTCTGTAATTTGTATCATAGGTACACTTCAACTGTGAGAGACAGAATCTAAAACAAAAATCCAGAAAATCACATTGTATGATTTTTAAGTAATTAATTTGCATTTTATTGCATGACATAAGTATTTGATCACCTACCAACCAGTAAGAATTCCGGCTCTCACAGACCTGTTAGTTTTTCTTTAAGAAGCCCTCCTGTTCTCCACTCATTACCTGTATTAACTGCACCTGTTTGAACTCGTTACCTGTATAAAAGACACCTGTCCACACACTCAATCAAACAGACTCCAACCTCTCCACAATGGCCAAGACCAGAGAGCTGTGTAAGGACATCAGGGATACAATTGTAGACCTGCACAAGGCTGGGATGGGTTACAGGACAATAGGCAAGCAGCTTGGTGAGAAGGCAACAACTG